CACAGCAGCAGGAGGACTGCTGCTATTATAATTTTTTATACCCACGTGACTTTACCGAAAGAAACCAAAGAGTTATGGATTCCTGCAGTCACGAAAGCTTCAAATCAAGATTGAAACGTTTTCAGCTTCGTTCACGGTGCTTGTGCGCTGTTTGTCGAGAGAGAGAGATAAAAAAACTAACAATTCTTCTCGCAAAGCAGTTGCTTTTGCAACCGATTGCTATTCGCTGAGATGTTGTATTGAGCAGCAGTGCGAGCCACTCCCTGCACCTCACCCTTGCAATTGGGGTGGGGGGAGAAAGGGGTTTCTAGGTACTAAAACTGCAGTGAAGTGTGGCGCGCTTATCTTACCGATAACGAGCCAATGGCTCAGTGGTCAGACCAACCTCCACGGTAGGAACTGGTGTCAAGGACGTCGGCTGGCACGCCTTGTGTTTGCACACCGCAGCAGTTTTATGGCTGAGCCGATCTAGGGGGAGAGCAATACGACTCGCCGCCGATGTTATCGACTCGAGCCCTGATTGTCTGGGATTTGATTTCAACAGAATGTTCGGTGCCGAGCGCCGTTCGCGAGTGGCACCGATGAAGGACGTCACGGAACACGAGGGGTGGTGTTGTCAACATCTCACGCCCGGCCGCCTTTGTCTCCCCGGTGCTGTTAAGTAGCCGCACCTCAAATCAACACCGGCCTCATTGGAGGCTGAGTCGACCTAGGGGAGGCCCAGAACCGGTTAACCATTGACTGAGAAAGCAGTCAATGGTCAGTGGCGATGTTTACACACCGACACTCCATTGAGGCTGAGTCGACCTGTGGTTCAGATCATCGTCACCGGTGTTAATGGGCGCGAGCGGTAATCGAACTCGGCCCGCCGGGTGCGTAGCGCAGCGCGCTCACCACTGCGCCACCGCCCCCCCCTCCCCCCGCCCCCGAGGCAATAAGCCCGCAAGTTCCTCCACTGCGTCAGCGGCGTCCTCACGAGCACTCCGCAGCAAGCCGAGGCAGTTCACGAATCGGCGGCGGTGGGGACACACGAACCCAGAGAAGGCGACGTGGGGACCCCCTCCACCCCCCCGACTTTACCACCCCCCACTACTTCTCCCTCCCCCTACTCCCGCCCCCCCCCCCCCCCGCCGTCGCTCCCTTCACCACCACCACCACCCACCCCATTCCCGTCCGTAGCCCCTCTCGATTCACGCGTCGTCACCTCCACACAAAGGGCGCGGGGAGGGAGGAGGAGCAGGCAGGCAGGCAGGGTCCATCACGATTCTATCCGAACACAAAGTGGCCTCTGTCTGCTGTCGCGGCCTCTGGGAGCGCTCCATCCCCCCACCCCCCACCCCCCACACTTTTTTTGTAGAAACCTTCTTCTGCATCTCGCTCCCTCTCCTCGCTCTCCGCCTTTCTCTCTCGTTCGTTCATTCATTGGCCCGCTCGCTCGCTCAGTCTTTATTTGTGTACGCAGGGGGATATTTCATTATTTATCTATCTCACTTCGCCCCCGTTTGTTGTTTGGCTTCGTTTATTTATTTACTTTCTCACTCCGTCGTCTTCTTCGTCGTCTTAGTCTCGCGCACGCGCACGCCCGGCTAAAGCTCATTTAGTTTGGTTTGTGAGGGTGGGTGGGTTGGTGGGGTGGGTGGGTTGGTGGTGGGTGGGTTGGTGGGAGGTGGGTGGGTTGGTGGGAGGTGGGTGGGTTGGTGGTGGGGGGTGTGTGGGTTGGTGGGGGGTGTGGGTTGATGGGAGGTGGGTGGGTGGTGGTGGGGGGTGAGTGGGTTGGTGGGTGGGTGGTGGGGTGGTGGTTGGGTTGGTGGGGGTGTGTGGGTTGGTGGGGGTGGGTGGGTGGTGGTTGGTGGGGGTGGGTTGGTGGGTTGGTGGTGGGTGGTTGGTGGGGGTGGGTTGGTGGGGGTGGGTGGGTTGGTAGAGGGTGGGTGGGTGGGTGGGTTGGTGGGGGTGGTGGGTTGGTAGGGTTGGGTGGGTGGGTGGGTTGGTTGGTTGGTGGGTGGGTTGGTAGGTGGGTTGGTGGGGGGTAGGTGGGTTGGTGGGTTGGTGGGTGGGTTGGTAGGTGGGTTGGTGGGGGGTAGGTGGGTTGGTGGGGGTGGGTGGGTTGGTGGGTGGGTTGGTGGGGGTGGTGGGTGGGTTGGTTGGTGGGTTGGTGGGTGGGATGGTGGGAGGTTGGTTGGTGGGTGAGTTGGTGGGTGGGTTGGTGGGGTTGGTGGGGGTGGGTGGGTGGGTTGGTGAGTGTGTTGGTGGGTTGGTGGGTTGGTGGGTTGGTGGTGGTGGCCGTGACTTCAACTCCTCAGCGTCGCTGCGCTGCGAACCCGGCGGAGGTCCCGGTTCGATTCCCGCTCACGGCCACCGGCACCAATGACGACGTGGGCGGAGTTTGGGAGGGGCATGGGGGGCAATGCCCCTCCCCTCCCTCGCAAACTGGGCACCTTTATTAATTCGTCTTCAGCAGTTTACAATTAAGATTTTAAAATAAACAAAATAATTATGTGCGCCCACGATTCCTCATATGAGGTTCAAAGCGAACTCCCACCCCTGAAATGTAAAAGTCAAACTCTGCCTATGAGTGACGATTATATCCGAACCGGGTCCGGGGCTTCCTCCCCAAGGTCGACTCAGCCTCAAATGAGTACCTGGCCACGCTACGTAGTAAAACATCGCCACTGGGAGAGACAAAGGCGGCCGGGCGTGGTGCTGCCCCCCCCCCCCCCCCCCGCTAGCAGCACTTGCTCCCAACAGCACGGGGGAGATCTTTGTCTTCATCTCAAACACCGACAATACTTTCATCGGCAGCACAGCTGTGTATCCGTGCACTGCCGGGTCAATTCCGTTCGACCCACTGCTGGACCACTCGTTGAGTCAATCTGCTGCTGGGTCAATAATCACCGTACGTAGTAGTAGTAGTAGAAGTAACAATCCATACTCTTTGGTTTCATATTCTTAGGTTTTTTCGGTGAAGTCATGTAGGTAAATAAATTAAAATTTATAAAAGTAAAATAAAAAATAAAAAAAAATCACGACGTTTCGGAGGCAACACAAGCTTCCGTCTTCAGGTGGAACCGTCACAGCACGATAGCTGTATCAAGTGAGTTGCCTCCGAAACGTTGTGATTTTTATTTTATTTTTATTTTACTTTTATTATTTAAATTTTTTACCTACGTGACTTTACCAAAAAAACCTAAGAATATGAATCCTTGCAGTCACGAAAGCTTCAAATCTAGAACTCTTTGGTTTTTTCGGTAAAGTCAATTAAGTAAAAAATTTAAATAAATTAAATCACGACGTTTCGGGCGCAACACAAGCGTCCTTCTTCAGGTGGGGGACAACTTAGCGAAAGCACAACCGCTTAAGTGTGTCTCTAAGCTGGGAGAGAGACGCGAAAACTTCAAATATATAGTAGGCATCAGGGTCGGCATCAACCCCACGACCTCCTGAATACCAGGCGAGGTCGTAAACATCTCGCCACCGTGGCGCCCAATTAGTTTCGACTTCAGCACCACCGCTGTGTTGGAGAGCAACCCACAAGAACACTTACAACTTGAGTTCACCACGTTATCGCCGGTGATTACAATAACAACCAGCATCACCAGGCGATTGCCAACATTGTGAAGTGCTCTGCGTGTTTTTTTTCTTAAGTACGGTCGGGTGATTTCATCACTGTGCACCTACCAAGTACGCAGAACCCAGGGGTGTTGATGTAATCCATATGAATAACAATATATTATGTTATGATAATTGTTTTTTTGCTTTTTTTCTGGCAACAAAACTGACACCTTTTGTACAAGGAGTCATGTTTGCATTGACCACAATACCTGCAGTCGGAATGCAAAAAAAAACATAACTCTGATAATGTATGCACTGTCCTTGAAATTGATTGGCTCTAAAAAAAGCTGTCTCGGGTGTGGACCAATCAACTTCAAGGACAGTGCATACATTATCAGAGTTGTGTTTTTTTTTGCATTCCGACTGCAGGTATTGTGGTCTATGCAAACATGACTCCTTGTAAAAAAAAAGATGTCAGTTTTGTCGCCAGATAAAAGGGTAAAAAACCAATTATCATTTTGTTACTGGCAAAATGAGGTTCCAATGGAATATATTATGTTGGTTGGCTACGTACGGTGCGAACGAAGTTCAACGCACACATTTAGTGCACGTTACCTGTCGGGTTATTCACACTTAATCAGCACGACGTTTCGGCCACAACCCCCCTTCCAACCCAGCTTATATATATACTCCAAGCACGTGTGCTGTTTCATTCAGACGCTGTCGCCTCGACAGACCTGGTTTTCACCTGAGGACGGCTGCTTGCGTTGTGGCCGAAACGTCGTGAGAATTATTTTATTATCTTTTATTTTTTATTATTTGATCACTTCCCTTCTACGTGACTTTACCGAAAGAACCAAGAAGATTAATCAGCATTATTGGAGACCAGCATGTCGCACGAGAGGGTGGGGTGGCCAGCACCACGGCCGGCCGCCTTTGTCTCCCCATTGGCGACATTTACACAGCGCAGCAGGTAGCTGGTTTGAAGTTGAGTCAACTTACACACACACAACGACAACCGCCGCCATTCGCCACTAAGTGGCGGTGACGTCACCGCGGCGTTTGTGCCACGCAATGCCACGTGAAGTGTCTAACGCCCGCTGGCAGGAGGGCACGGGGCAGACCCAGGCGCCGTGGGTTGACTGACTGAGATGACACGCACAAAGACAAAGATCCCGCGTATAGCCTTAACAGGCTGTTGGGGCAAGTGCTGTTAGCGAGTAGCACTTGTGAAGGCCAGAACGGCACACGAGGGGGTGGATGGCCAGCACCACGTCCAGCCGCCTTTGTCTCCCAAGTGGCGATGTTTTTACGCACCGCACCAGGTGCTCATTTCAGGCTGAGTCGACCTCACACATGTACGCATACGCACACGCACTCACACGCACGCACACGCACGCACACACGCGCGCAGTCTCACGATCAGTTTGACGCGCGCAACGTGGACAAACCTTTTGGCGCCTGTGTCGTGGTGACCATCGGAGTCGGCTCGGCATGAGGGATTCCTGCAGCAGCAGCAGCAACAACAACAACACGAACAACAACAACAAGAATCATGTCAACTCGCAACACTGGACTCCCACCCCCACCCTTACTCCCGCCACTGTTGCGTGGCATCTGCACGCTCTCGTAGACACAAACACAGAGAGAGAGGGGGCGACGATTCAGAGGCGTTAGGAGGACTCACAGATGAGCGGGGAAAGGCAACAGCCAGGCGGAGCAGCCAGTATCAAAAACTGCCTAAGCTCGGCGGCCCTCTATGCATCAAGATGTTTTTCAGCCAATTAACGAGTGTTAGTACACATGGGATGGAACCGGAGCGCCCGGAGAGAACCCGCGCGCGTGAGGGGGCAACGCTCAATCCCCCCGTTACAGATAGAACAGGTGGAGCCCACGGTTTTTGTTTTTCTTCCTGCACCGACTTTTCTTGGCGAGCCGAGATACGGCTCCTCCTGCGCCCACGAGAAGCGAGGTTCCCAACCATCTGTGTGTGATCCATCAACCCTTGCTGCTGCCTCCGCAGCTCTGCATTGCAGCTACGGAAACCCGACGACCCGAGTTCGAGTCCCGCTCACGGCCATCAATACCGGTCCTGCGCCTCCCCTAGGTCGACTCAGCCTCAAATGAGCACCTGCCGTGGTGTGTACAACGTCGCCGCTGGGGTGACAAAGGCGGCCGGGCGAGTGTGCCTGCCGCCTACCCACTTCATGTGCCGTAAACCGGCCTTCGTTCGGTGGTGCTGCTTGCTAACAGCACAGCAACTGGCCCCAACAGTCCGTTAAGGCTACACGGGGGACCTTTGTCTTGTGTATGTGTGTGCATGTACGTGACATCAGGTACTAATTTCAGGCTGAGTCGACCTAGGGGAGGCCCG